GGTATGTGGGCCAAGCAAAAGCTGGTTGTGTGGGCCGGAGCTGGGCCAGAGAAAAATTGCTATGTGGGTTGTTATCTTCCTACATCTATGTGCTGCCTGCAGAGGCTGCATTTCTCAGATTTTGGACACAATCTATGATTCCATCCAGCTGGAGGAGATTAAACATGTTTAGAACATTTATTGTTGGTAACACTTTAGTATAGGGACCAATTCTCACTGTTGCTTATTAGAATGCCTATTATTTACATATTGGCTGTTTATTGGCACATATTCTGCATGACCATATTATACATCCCTAACTCTACCCAATACCTAAACTTAACAACTACCTTACTAACTACTAATAAGCAGCAACATAGGGGTTTATTGAGGCAAAAGTCATAGCTAATGGTTTGTTAATAGCGAGAATTGGACCTTAAAATAAAGTGTGACCTTATTGTTTTCATTTGTCATGTGACTCCTTGCAACAAGACACACGTATCTGTATGAGTTTGTTGTGCTCAGAACGACTGAATGAGTGACGGTCTTCAGTTATTTAGTTTTCCTCTGTAACCATTTACAAAGTCAGCAAGTGTTTTAGTGTTTTAAACATTTGTTCAAATTTGAATAGTTGTGCAGTGTATGCCAGCCTTCACTTTCTTCCATCAACCACAAAGAGATGTTTTGAGAATGTTTAAGCAGGTTCAATGTTAATAACACCAAACACCACTGTTCCTCATAACAGATCATGCAGAAGGTTGAACTACTTTAATGTACTGTACTAATGTACTGTGGTGGATCCGGATATAACTGTCCTGTATACCTGCACTATTCACAATTGTACAAACCGTATAAAATGTACTAAGGGATCGCACAATACCCACAGACATTGGTTTTAGTCTAATGGCCCTTGGCCTTAAAAGCCCTGTGCATCTGTAGGCTATGCCCATTTTCCTCAGTCGTTCTTAGCAGAAACCTGTTTTTAATACATCCAGGTTAGCAGAAGGGCCACTATACAGCATCTAAACGTGTGGCGCACAAACACTGCTGTGATTGTTAACGGCAAATTATATTCCCATCCATCCTCCATTTACTGCAGATTGTACAGCCAGGTTGTTTATAAAACATTCAATCAAATAGCTTTAAAAACCAATTAAAGAAAACAATGTGCACATAAAACAGAGACCACACAGACAGACTAGAGACTAATGTTCATACTGAGGTACATTAGCTCTGTTTGGAAGTCAGATGTAAATAAAACATGTCAGTAAAATGGTAATGTTAATTTAATTCAATGCCGTTATATGTTTAAATATGGACCATCTTTACATCAATGGGTCTGAGGCAGTTTTGTTATGGGATGTCCCCTGACTCCCCTCAAGAGTTGGCAATATAACAGAGGCCCTTAGTGGTCCCCCTTTGTCACAGAAACTGCTTGTCCCACAAATCTAAAATAATAATAAACAAATAAAATATGAATAAAATAAAAAACGATGTAAAACTTTGTAAAAGATAATATGATATGATATAATATACATCATTATTGTTATTATTATTAGCCACACGAATTATTTTTTTGTTTGTTTTTATTATTTATGCGTGATTTTAGTTTTATTTCGTTCTTCTAGAATTATACGGTGAACTTTCCCGGGAAAGTAAAATATGTAGCTCACGGCAACAAACTTTCCACCAATCAGATTGCAGAAACTAACTCCGTTACTGCCACTAACGTGGAGTTTCAGAAACTTTCCGCCAATCAGAGCGCAGAAACGCGTTCCCTGTCCGGCCAACAGCCAATCGGAACGCAGAGCCAGTCTCCTGTACAGACAGTAACACGGAAGAGCAGACTGGACTGAGATTTACAAACACAGCGAGCAGAGAAAATCAAAGCAGCTCCTAACCTGTGTTTCCGAGCGCGTTTCGTCTGTTTTGTTTTGAAGAAAGGCGTTTTTCTGAGGTAATGAGGATGTTGGGCATGTATGTGCCGGACAGATTCGTGCTGAAGTCCTCCAAAGTTCAGGACGGGATGGGGCTGTACACTGCCAGAGCAGTCAAAAAGGTTCGTGCATATAAAACAAACTCAGCATGAAAGATGAAGTCTTTTTTTTAGCCTACTGTTTTTACTTTGCACAGAAAGCATTGAGTATATACGCCTGGTTGTAGTTGCATTCCTCTGTGTATGTGCTTACGTGTGCTGCCACGTCCTTTACAAACAATCACCATGGTAACCATCGTTTCCGCCAAAAATTCATCATGCCAACCACCATTTCCGCCACAATATACAGCTACTGGAGATATTACAGTACAACTGTGGGAACGTGATATTAGTTTCCTATTGTACTCCACTGTCTTAAAAAAATAAAACACATAGCAGAAAGAGTTTGCTCTGTTTGAAAGAGATCCGGTATTGACTTTTAAAAAAACTTTTGTTTTTAGCAAAAACAATAAATAGGCTATAGTTACTATGATATTTGGCTGTAAATGTGGCTCACTGTAGAAACTGTTTGTAAGATGTCTGCATCTGCAGAAATACTTTACAACCAGTGGAAATATCACAAAGCACATGTCCTGCTTATATTTCACCCCAACATAAGAAAATACACAATTTTAAAAATAAGAGTAAAACGTGTAGAAAATTAAGCAATTGTCATCACCGTAAATGCATAAAATATTATAATTTAAAATATTTGCACTTAATAATTTAAATTGTTTGCGCATAATTGCACTTATTTGCTAATATATACCCTTGTAAAAATAAGTACACTTTAGCATATCTTTAAAAAAAGTACTTATGTAATTAATATAGGCTACTTTAAAAGAATGTACTTAAGAGCAAACTAAATGTAATGATTTCAGACACTTAATTGCATGTTATTTACAATTAAATGAAAACGTGTAAAAGTTAAACATTTATATTAAATGCAACTAGTTGAACTTAGTGGCACTTTTTGACCCACTTAATTGGACTTAAGTATGTTTACATTGGTATGTCATTTCATAATTACTTGAATCATCTTTGAAATATGGTTTAAGTGTGCTGTCAAATGTACTGACAATCATTTATGTAATTTCTGTTGAAACTTGTATGTCATGCAGTTACCCTGATAGCACACATACATCTCGGAGACGTCTATTTGATGTCTGCTTTACATCTGCAAGACGTATTTTTTAGAGTGTTTGCTCATCTGCAATACGTCTATAGGACGTTTCCTTTTAGATGTCAAATAGACGTCTATTAGATGTTTTTAAGATGTTTATGATTTAGAATTAGGGCTGCACGATTTGGGAAATTTTTCATATTGCGGTTATTGAGGTCAATATTGCGATATGCGATTGCGATTATAATAAATGGTATCATGAGTCAACTTGATGGGTTTTTAAGGAAAATGCACACACAGATTAGCCACAGCAGATGCTTTCCAGATCAAGAGATCTTTAACAGACATCTTGCAGACGTACATGTGCTATCTGGGAAATATCTTTGTACTGATGAAGTTGCATTTTAGTTAGGGCTGCACGATATTGGTTTTTCCAATATCGTGCAGCCCAAACTAAAATGCAACTCACATTGCAATATTTAGTTTTTCTGCGATTTATATATTGCGATATGAAAAAAATAAAATCACCAGATGACTTGAACAGCTCTGTTTGGAAAAAAAATTATAATCAATGATTGGGGTGATTTTGTAGGTGAGTAAATACTTGCAGAGACATGCATTTTGACATAGTTTCGTGCATATGTGTCATTTCAGGCAAAAATAGTAGCGGAAGTGAACGGAATTCAGAGTTCACGTGCATCTGCGTTGCTCTCACCGTGTCTACACCGGACGCGAGTGGCGCGACAAAATACAATAGAACCCATTATAATCAGTGAATGCTGTGTGACTGACTACACTGGATGCGGCGCGACCATAGACTGTATAAAAACATGGACGTAGTGTCCGTGACGTCACCCGTAGGTTTCCGAAGAGCGTTTTTGAAGCTCAAAGTGGGCGGAGCCGGCCGTCACCATTTTGGCAGCACGTCACCGAGCGTCACTCCCGGATAATCGAAAATGGGCAAAGGGTTGTCATGAAGGGCAAAATTAGCTATATAAACCAAAACCACTTTTTGTACCAGGCTGCAAACATTTTTTTCCTGCTGTAAAGTTGGGCATTTTAACATGGGGAGTCTATAGGGCCTTTCGCACCGCGGGAACTTTTCATAGTACCAGAACTAATTGTGGAACTACCCACTTTTTGGTGTTTTCGCACCGCCGGAACTGGGTGCGATTTTAGTACCGGACTGCCTTTTTCGAGAACCAAATTAGCTCCTACTCCGGAGCAG